CATTTTGGGTAGAAGTCGATAGCATCACCATTATTTTAGATAGCAGCTGCTCACCTACAAGGCATTGAATCTATAATACGCCCAATTTAATCCTTGGATATGTTTCCGAATCTCTCTTGATCTTCCTATCTACGATACTCCAAAGGTTTTCTTAGGAGTTTAGGTCAGGTGATTGTGCCGACCATAACAAAACATGAATTTTTGACTCCCACAACCAATCTTTGACAAGTTTTGATGCATGTTTGGGATCATTGTCATGCTAAAACACCCAAAGAAGCCAAAGAATTTCCTCAGCGAAAGGAAACAACGTGATGTCCAACACATATTTGTAAACAAATCGATCCATAACTTCCTTTGTTTCATGTATTGGCCCAAGTCCCTAGAAAGAAAAACAGCGCCACACCATTTTTGACCCTCCCTCATACTTTACTGTATCCTTGCAACACTGCGGCTTAAGTCTTTTTTTTTTTGGTCTTCTCACCTTTAATATTAAACGTAGGCTCAACCCAGAATAAAATGTTTTCTACTGAGCTGGATTCTAATTTCCGATTTTTAAGGCTTTTCGATTTTTTAGATATAAATGGCTTTTTTGATGGCTTACGATGGCATGTAGAACAGCTGCAACTACTCGTCTACGTACTGATCTCGAGCTTATATCCAATGATAGCTCTCTCACCAATTCAGTTGGACTCTTAAATGGTTGTTTTTTTTATATTCCTTTAAAATTTTTTTATCAGTACGGGCTGAAGTTTTTCACAGCCTTCATCCGTTATAGACTCGACTTAGTATACGCGAAATCACAGAAATATGAACTAATTCTCGGAAATCATTTTCTGCGATAGCTTCTTTTTATCGTCGCTGATAATTTGCTGTTTTATTCATGTAATGTATTTGCTTCTATCCATTTTTAAACTTTTTTTTTGGGCAGTACTATTTTCATAATTTTTAAAAAAGTTACAGAGCATTCATTCTCCTTGTAATTTCAGTTGCTTTAGTTTTGCCTACCAGTGTATAGACTAATAGCCTGTTCAGCAAGCTTAGAAATAGAATTTTTTGTTTTCGTACGTACGGAAAAAAAAGCAATTGCTTGTCTGTGAACAGGCTATAAGCGTACCTATACAGAACAGCGCGACATCTGTTAGGGAATAATATCAAAATAACATGTCTAAACTAAATTAAAAATATGTAATTGGCTTTGTTAGACACTTATTTAAACAGGTATACATTTGTATAATAGATGTCGCCAACGCCCAGAAAGCATTAAGAAGATTGTTTTTGAAAAAAATCAATTTGCTGAGTCTTCTTCGAGCCCCTTTGGCAATCAAAAAATTATCAGTTCATTTATACGATGAGTAAAAAAGTTGAATTTAATATAAAATAATAAAATGTATGGGAATCGAGGGCTGTAAAATGTGATTATTTCTTCTGTTATTTATTAGCGTATTGCGATCAGAAGATTGAAAAATTATTAGACTTAAAAAGATCATGCAGCTGTTTGAAAAGTGATCATAATAATGTATTTATGTACCCTCCACCACAGTATAGAATGTATATTAAGTTTGTTATTCCGTTTGTAACACCTCGAACACCCTTCTGTGGAAATCACTCTAGCTTCCGAACGAATTGTAGTAGGTTGTAAATTTTACTCAAATGTATATTATGTCTGCAGGACTTTTGGTATTGCAAATGGGTAATGTGGGTCCAAGTTTTGGTATAGCACCCATATAATTGTACCTCCCTAATTTTGGTGATTTAAGCGACATTATTCACCGGAATTGTTTCAAATTTGGTGGACACTACAGTCTAAGACAGAAATCATGGTAGAACTAAGATGGTATACTCTTGCACTCGTATGTTTACAATTTTTTTTTCAAAATTATTCATTTGACAACATCTCATTGTCAAGATGTTTATTTATAAATCCATTGTTCATGCACAAATCAGAGATGGAAACCTGCTTTCTATGCAGTAAAATTTGACGAGGTAAATTACCGAAAATGCAAAGATGGAAATGCTTATTTGAAACGGCTTTACCTTCTTAATTTTACCATGACAAAAATGTTTTCTGTGTAGGTCCACGGCTTCGTATAGGCCCCATATATTCGGCATTTTTATGATTTTAGCGACATTATTCACAGGAATTGTTTCAAATTCGGTATTTGAAGTTCGTAATGGATACTACATCCTATACTACAGAGAATTGTCTGGGAAGGTCCGCTTTTTGGTATAGCCAAATATAATAGTTCCTCCCTATATTCGGTATTTTGATGATGCAGATCCAGAATTTTACGCCGATCATGATTATATTTACTTTGTATGTCTAAAATTATTATTTCGATGAGTTACAGACGGAATGACGAACTTAATATACTAGCCCTAGAACAAAAGTTTACTGTTCTGTTTTATTTAATATAATAATGACATTTATTCTAAAACTATCCAAATCTCTATGCAAAAACTAAACTCGTACAGCTTACATTTATACGGCAACCCTGTTTCAAACTGCTTCCAACTTCACGCGATTGTTGGAAAATGTATTTGGTGAAGTCTAAAAGCTAATTATAACAAATGGGAAGATAACGAGGACAAACTACTTTTGAAGTGTGATTTTTAGTAATTAAACATTACAAAAACCATAAATTGCTAAATGACATATCTGAGATTGTTAATAGAAGCTGATCTACAGTTCAGTACATCATACAACGGTTCAAAACAGATGGATATGTAGAAAATAAGTCAAAAACCGCAAATAATAAAATATTTACCCTGAGTGATGAGAAGTATATTTTACGGCAGATCAAAAAGGATCCATTTTTGCATGCACCGAAACTCGCAAAAATAGTTGAAAAGGATTTGGGAAAAGTAAGTTGCCCTCAAACAATAATAACTATACTGCATAAGTCGAATTACAATGGAAGAAGAGCTATACATATGTAAACCTCTAATCAGCAAGCGAAATCAAGAAGTAAGATTGCGATCCAAGCCATGAGCACATATCAAAAGATTTTTCATTTTGGAAGAATGTGCTGTTCACGATGAGGGCAAATTCAACCTTTTTGGTTGAAATGACAGATCTTATGTATGGAGAAAGGCAAATGAAACGCTCCTTGTCAAAAATATGAAGCCTTCAGCGAAGCACGATGGTCTGGACCTGGTGTATTGCATTTTATCGAGGGTATTTTGGATCAAACTATGTACCTTAACATTTTGAAAGAAAGTTTGCAACTCTGTAAGGAAAAGCTCGGCCTTGGCGAAGATTATTATTTTTATCAAGACCATGACCTGAAACACAAGGCTTAAAAAGTGCGGTCATGGCTGCTATATTATTATCCCCACGTCATAGATATACCAGCCCAGAGTCCACGCATAAACCTCATAGAGAATTTATGGAACTATCTCGATGGAAAAGATCCCCACGTCATGGATATACCAGCCCAGATTCCAGACAGAGAATTTATGAAGCTATCCCTATGGAAAAATCCGCCAGCATACCATATCTTGCAAAGAAGATTTGATGAAAGCTTTCTTGGAAGAATGCACAAAATTTAACCTAGCTTTTGCGAAAAATTGTTAAAAGTATGCCAAATAGACTACAAATGGTAAAAAAGAAAAGTAAAGCATACAAAATATTAATATCTAGAAATACTTTAAATTATACTAAGTGTACGAGTTTGGATTTGGCATTGAAATGTGATCCCTTTAAAGATTTATTTACTTTTACTTTAAATGAATTAAAATGTTAGTTTTTTTTTAATTTTTAAATTACTTATATATGCTCTGTTCTAGAACCTGCAAGAATCTGCTAGTTTTTCAGTTTTTTTTTTTCGATATCATAAAGAAAAATCATTTATCGCAGTAAAACGTTTTACATTCTTGCGTTTCTGGAACAGAGCAGTAGTGTACTGTGTACTAGTAAGCATGGTACAATAATATCAAGGTAGGGCTATGATACCATATGATTTTAATTTTTTTATTTTCTTGGCTTAATAGGTCATCTTTATTTGTTTATGTATGTGTTTTCTTTTCAATAACAAAACAATTGTTCAGAAAACATTCAAATTCGGGTTTTTTAAAAATGTTTATTTCAACGTATGCTTCGACAAAAATCTAGAGTTTTTGTAGCGAAATAATCCTTTAGAGATATATAGTACATGATTTTGAAAAGAAGTGTTGACCTTTCATTCAGTTATCGCGGTTTTCAGTTATTTATTCAAAATAAATGCAACAAGTTGTTTCATTTTTTATTGTTTTGATACTAATTCTGGCATTACAAGCCAAACAGGTAGATCTCTATAGTTGCAATTTTTTCAAAGTTGGCCTACCTTCTCTTCATTGTACCATGCTAGTAAGTGTATTTTTTTTAAATTTTAATTTTGGGAAGTTATAAGAAAAATATTTTTTTTAGCTGTACGAGTTTCGCTTGGAGCTACTGTATTTTATTGTCTGTGTTGGTTAGTTCTTCGCCATTTATTTTATTTTTTTAATTCATTCATCAAAATACAATTTTTCTACAATTAGCTGCTGACTGACTAAAAACGCTAACAAAATATTTCATTGACAACACCGAAATCGAAAAGGGAAGAAAAAATTTCCCTCTTCTGTCAATGACAACCAAAGCGCCACCAAACGAATTTCCCCTGATACTAACAGCAGCGGTGCTCAAAACCGTGTTCTAGAACATGAAGAGAAAAAAGAGATAATTTAAGAGAAAATTAAAATTCTGTTTTTCTTTATATTTTACGGTTCTATTTAATTGTTTTTAAACACGAATGTTTGCCAAAATAATTTATAAAACAAATGGATAAAAAATATTTGTATAAATAATGACTTAACACTGTTTTGTTCTTGATTTAAATAAGCAAAGAGAAATTTGACTGAAAAGAGATATTTCTTCTTGAGCACCCCTGTAACAGAAACAATTGCCGAGAGAAAGCCACAAAGAGAGCGAGAGCTAAAGGCCAAGTCAATGAATCAACGAATGGATAAAAACCGTTGGAAAAATCCGAGAAGAAAACAGTCATAAAAAACTCGTGAGATAACGTGGTTAGGCGGTGTATTTTGTGCGGTGTTCGTGATTCAAACATTTGTTTCTTCTTCTTTTCCAAGAAATAAACATAAAATACTTGAAAAAAAAAACATACATTAAAGTGTGAAATTCTAATAACAGAAAACGCAAGTTAGACGAAAGTAACCCAAACATCTTTGAATACAACAACTAACCGATCCCTTCGAAAAAAAAAACAAAATGTAAATAGAATAAGTTTTCATTCTGCTACTCTGTCTACATTTTAACTTCACTTCCTATTGATGAATGTTTCGAATGAGAAAAAAAGTGCAAATCTTATGGATAAACATACTATCGAGTTACCAAGAAATGAAAAAAAGTATAAAAAATAAAACATACTAATAGCAACAACAACAGCAGCAGCAGCATGACCAGCAACCACAACCACAACGAATATCTTCGTTGAGAAGAGACAGTGTAAAAATGAAAGAAAAAAATATTTGGGGGAATTTTACGAAAGTTAAGTGGAAAACACACTCACCAAAACCACCAACCATCCTCATTGCCCAAAGAGGAAAGTAAGAGCAACATCTGCTCCATAGACCAGCAGAATATGCCAAATGTACTGCCGCCCGCCCGCCTGTCATTCGAAAAAACAACACACACACACACAGAAAAAGAGAAAATAGTTTTCCAATTGGAGGCATTTGCAAAAAAAATTTGTTCCTCTCCAAAGGGCAGGACTGCCGCCAATAGAGAACAAACGAATATAACATTTTTTTCTGTTGTTGCTGTTTTTTTTTGGTGTGGGAAAGTGGATGTGGCAGTTTTTATTTCTCCCTTTATTTATTTTTTTTTTGGTTGCACGAGTAAAATAGTATGAGTTGAGCGACCAACTAAACACCCGACAGACAAACAGACACCCAGACTGACAAAAAAGCGAAGAGAAGAGGTGGTAGACACCAAAAAGCGTGAACATAAAGTTGGGTTCAAAAGAAATTTAGAAACAAAAACCAAAGACAACTTTCTAAAAATTGAATAAAAAATTAAATAAGAATGGTTAACAGAAGAAGAAGAGAGGAGAGGGACGAGTGGTGACATTTGGCGGCTTTTGATGGGCGCAATGTTTATTTAAGGGTGGGTGGCCATTTGTCGTGAAATAAAAGGGGAATTCTGTTTTTTCAATGAATTTTAAAAGCGTTGTTTATTTGCTGTTTACATTTTAAATCAACTATAGTTTGGCGTATTTGACAAGGATACACGAATTCAAAGTACCTCAAATGTGGGGCTTATGGTTGTTAGGTCTTTTGGAGATAAAAACTCATTTTTTTTATAGAAATATTGGAAAATAATATTTTTATACTCTCCACCATACATAGTATGGACGAGGGTAAATTAAGTTCGTCATTCCGTTTGTAACTCATCGAAATAATAATTTTAGACCCAACAAAGTATATCTATTTTTGATCAGCGTAAAATTCTAAGACGATTTAGACCTGTCCGTCCGTCCTTTCGTCTGTCCGTATGTTGCAATCACGCTAGAGTCAAAACGAATAAAGATAGGAAGCTAAAATTTTGCACAGATCAGTCTGCAGGCTGGTCAAATTCGAAGATTGGCTATCGGTCCACGATTCGGTATTTTTATGATTTTAGCTACATTTTTTCAATAGAATTGTATAAAAATCCATACTAGAAGTTATTTTTAAGCACGTTACCCCCTGGACGAGAAATGTATATATAGGTCCACGATATCGTATAGTCCATATACAACGGTACCGCCCGATATTCTATATTTGGACGATTTAAGCTACGTTATCCACTGGATTTTTTTTTTTTCAAGTTTCGTTTTCAAATCCTCCACCATAGTATAGAGAGCATATTAAGTTTGTCATTCTGCTTGTAACACCTCGAAATATACGTTTTAGACTCCACAAAGTATATATATTTATGACCAGCAAAAAATTCTATGCCGATTTAGCGGTGTCCGTCCGTCTGTGGAAATCACTCTAGCTTCCGATGGAAATGAAGTAGGTTGATATAATTTTACTCAAATGTTTATTATGTCTTTCAGGACTTTTGGTATTGAAAATGGATCATGTAGGCCCAAGTTTTGGTATAGCCCCCATATAATAGTACCTCTCTATTTTCGGTATTTTGGTGATTTAAGCGACATTATTTACAGGAAATGTTTCAATTTTTGGTATTTGAAGTTCGTAATGGATATTACAGCCTATGACAGAAAATTGTGTATGCAGGCCCACGTCTTCGTATATCCTCCACATAAAGGTACCCCCCTATATTAGGTATTTTGATAATTGTAGCGACATTATTCACCGGAGTTGTTTTAAATGTCGTATTTAGAGTTCGTAATGGGAACTACAATCTGTGACAGAAAATTGTCTATGTAGGTTGAGGTCTTTGTATAGGCCCCATATATCAGAACCTCCCTACATTCGGAGTTTTTACGATTTGAGGTACAATATTCACCGAAATTGTTTACAATTTCGTATTTGAAGTACTAATAGGTACTACAGCCTACGACAGAAAATTGTCTATGCAGGTGCAGGTCTTCGTATAGGCCTCATTTATCAGTACCTCCCCATATTCTGTATTTTGATGATTTTAGCTAAATTTTTTCATGTTTCGTATTTGAATATTGTAATGGCTTATGACTATGCAGGTACACGTCTTCGTATAGACCCCAGTACAACGGCTATATTCGGTATTTTTAAGATTTCAACAAAAATTTTTACGGATTTTATTTTTTGAAAATTTCAAAATTCGTTCCAAATGGGTCAAAGTTTTGCCCGGCCGAACTTACTGCTCTTTTATTTGTTAATTCTTAATAGGGATTTTTGCCGGGTAAACCTCTCTTAGCCCCATAAGTAATGCGAGACTTGATGGAAAGATTGATTGATTGATTACAGTTAGGAATAGTATGAAGATCGAAAATAATTCGCCTTGTTTTGCTGCAGAAGTGGTAGAAGTACAAGAAGAACAATTTCTATTGTGTCTAGGATGTTTGGTATTGAAAATAAGATATATCGGTCCATGTTTTGGTATAGCCGCCATATAAAAATACCTCCCGATATTCGATATTCTGAAGATCTTTGCCACATTCTTTCACGGATTTGTTTAAAAATTGGTAGCTGTTGGTCATATTGGGTTCTAGCTCCGGTGGCGAAACATTGTATGCACAGGTCCACGTTTTTGTATAGCCGCCATATAACGGTACCTCCCGATATTCGGTATTTTTAAAATGTTTGCCACATGTTCTCACGGATTTGTCTAAAAATTGGTCATAATGGGCTTTAAATCTTGTGGCGAAACATTGTATTTATAAGTCCACGTTTTCGTATAGCCCCCACATAATGGTACCTTCGGATATTCAGCATTTTAATGATTTGTACCACATTTTTCCACGGATTTGTCTAAATATTGGTAATTGTAGGTCATAATAGGTTCTAGCTCGTGTGGCGAAACATTGTATGTATAGGTCCACGTTTTTGTATAGCCCCCATGTAACGGTACCTCACGATATTCGGTATTTTGATAAATGTTGCCACATTTTTTCACGAATTTCTCTAAAAATTAGAATTTTTTTAGGTCATAATGGTTTCTACCTCCGCTGGCGGATCATTGAATATTTAGGTCCACGTTTTTGTATAGCCCCCATATAATGGTACTTCCCCATATTAGGTAGTTCGGTGATTTTTGCCATATTTTTTCACGAATTCGTCTAAAAATTGTAGGTTATAATGGGTTCTAGCTCCAGTGCCGAAACATAGTATATATAGGTCCAATTTTTCGTATAGACCCCATATAACCCTATTCGGTATTTTGATGATCCTAATTACATTTAACCACGAAATTGTTTCAAATTTGGTATTTTAGAAGATTTGGTAGATGACAATCCTCGAAGTATACGTTTGTTTTGGTAGAGCCCCCATATAACGGCATAACCCATTTTTTTTAAATTTAACGGCATTATCCAAACGGTCAAACGGCTAAACGGTTTGTAGTTTGAAGTGAAACATGTTTGAATTCAGATACTTTTATATAAAAATGTTTTCATTTCCTAATGGTGGATGGTAATAAAAGTTCGGCCCGGCCGATCTTAAATGTTTTTTAGTTGCTTTTTTTCTAAAAAAAAATTTCGATCCCCACCTAGGATTGAGGTTGGCTTAAAAGATTGTGGTTAAATTTCAAATCCAAGCATGCGTTTTTTGTCCTAAAAAGGAAAATGTCCGACCTCAAACATTCTTAGTACATGTTATTTATAGTTTGTTTTATAATGATTTTTTTCCAACATTAAGTCTAAGCAGAATATACATTTATTGCAAGTAATAGGCAAACCAAAAGGCATTTGGAATTCTATTGCAAACCTAACCTATTGTGGTTTTGATTTTTTTTATGGAGGTTGGACCGATAAACATAAATATTTTGAATAAAATGCATAGCAAATGTATAAACATTATTATATCGCACTGTTCATGGTATAATTAAAAAGGTAACCTAATTTCAAGTAAGCATATTCAACATTTTCTGTAACGTGCCCTATCAAATATAACAGCATAGAAAATAGTTTCCATCTTTGATTTGGGTATATGCAATGGAAATGATTGCCTTCTTAATTATATCCTGCGAATACATGATATATGTAATTTCCTGAATTTCCCCTCAATCTCTCATTATATCTGGGATGAAAATATAACACCTATGCTATAGCAGTTATAGCGGTCAGGGTTTGTTTCTCATGTGTATTCGCTTGAAAATTATACCGGTTGGAAGCTGTGGCCAAATATTTTCCTTTCAACCCTTGAAATGCAAACAATGTGGGTATTTATGAATGAATTGGCATCCCTGTAACGAAACGACAGCAGCTAACGGAAAATCAACATCAAAGAGACTCTCCGGCTCATTGGAAAATTCACATCAAACATAAAGAGAGAGCACAATTGACAAAGAGACTGAGAATAAACAGTAGAGAGCGAAAGAGAGAGAGAGGAATACGGTAAATGGGGTAAAAATCTTCTTGAATGAAATTTCAAGTCAAGGATATTTGCAAAATCAAAAAAAAAAAAAACAAAAATGGGTATGTAATGGCAAAAAAGGATGCCCTAAAGAGAAGAGTGGTAGATGTTATACCACCATAACAAAAGGACAAAATGTTATTTAATCAATGAAATCGATTAAGTAATACGTCCACAGCAAGGAATTGTGAAAATGTTGCTATCCATTT